AATATAAAATTCCATCCTTTATAAACCATTTTTCTACAAAAAAATAATATTTTTATAGAAATGCTAATTTTTTTATTTGTCCTTTTTTTATCAACGCATCGATATATCTATGACAATTTGTGAAAATTATGGATTGTTATATAATAAATGAAAAATAAAGTATTTAATTGATATAAAAGTTATATATTTTAATATAGACGACAGATACATTGTCGAATTATGACTTCTATACCATTGAAGACTTTCAATAATGTATTCCTATAAGTGAATTAATTAATTCGAGACGCGCTCGAGACGTAACTCTTTAAAAAATCCTTTCTGCAATCTAAATATAATTTCAATATAATTTGCATATATAAATAATTAACAGAAGCTATCAAATTATTTCTCTTTAGATATAAATTAAAGATTTCGAGAAGAGCTTCAAGAGACTTGTTGACATATTCATGAAAAAAATTTCATTTGCAAACTGTTCTGTAATTAAACTGTTTCGTTGCCAAGTTTAATGCAACATGAATAGAGGCATACGTTCTCGACTTGCAGAGAATAGAAAACAAGCGGCGATAGCGCTTAGGACAAATATTTCGCAAATGTAAGCGACGTAAATAATGACTTCTTCGTCTTAACGCTGTTGCACTTTATCAAAAGTTATGTGCATGCGCATATATTTTGATAAGGCACGAAAATATCTTTTCTATTATCCAATAAGAATAATAGGAGCGACACAGACCAACATAAACTGTCGGAAAATTTTTATAGAAAAATAGATTAGCGCATAAAACTATGCATGAAGAGATTCGGATGTTATTCGAGATTCGGATTACGTGAATTGTAATCCGAACGCACATAAGATTTAAGTTTCTCATTTCTATACAAAAGTATTTACTTGTACTCGATATGTATTTGTTACCTGCATAAATGACGAAATTACGCTGACGATATATTGGAAAATAAAGAAATTATAAAAAATATTAAAATAATAAAATAATAACAAGAAATATAATAAAACATTTTCTTTTCTTATTGATTTTGTTTTTTCGATGAATTCCACGATGAATATATTTGCAGCGGAAATTAGCGATTATTAAAATAAATCTACCAGTTAGTGGACATGAACCAATTGTTGAAAAAAGTGATAAAATATTTCAAATATTAAACTTTTAATTATATGTACGATTTTATATAAATTTGTTATTAAATTTTTATAAACAAATTTACGTCATGTCCACTAACTGTCCATTAACTGGTACATTTATATGTATACCTTAACTAGTGAATAAATATTATATGAAATAAATACTATAATGCAATAAATATTATAATTATCTCCTTAATTCTTTGAAGCATATATTTTTGTAGTCATTACGAAAATGGAATCAGATTTTGAAAATTTTTTTTAATTCAAAATGATCTAACTTAGTGTATTGAAAATGCAAAAATTGGTCTAGTCAATAAAATACAGGTATAAGATTTGTAGGCTGATGACGAGGGTGAAATAAAAATTAAAGGATTAACAATATGGCGAATCTAAAATACAAAAATTTAACTAATTTGTATAAAACGAAAGCAACAGTCCATGATTTTGAATTTGATAATTTTTGGTTTTAGATTCGAAATTAGCAATCTCAAAAATCTATGAGAACAAACATTCATATAAATTAGTCTATTTTCTTGCAATGTCGATTCGTCATATTGAATCCGCAACTTTGCATTTTTAATGAGTGTAATTTGATATTTGGGAGTTTTAGAGTTCACTGATTCCAAATATGTAAGCTAGTATATACCTAGTTAAGTATATTCGTCGTGTTAAATTTTGCGAAAACCGCGCACTGAAATAACGCGGTATACATCGGAAATAACGATAGTAGTGTTTATAGTATCTTTTAATATACTGGCGTGTGTCATATATTAAGATTTATAGAAAGATGACCAGATGACTCACAGAGAAATAAAATTTGTAATGCTACTGACATCGACGATATTATCGTGGAATATACGATCAGTGCAAGAGCTTTTAATATTAATAAGATATTACTACCTTGGACAGATTAGATATGATAAACGATTCTACGAAAAGAGTAGATAAAAGA